TCCTGAGGAGGACTCCATATTAGCTTCTAATTAACATGATAAAATTATAAATCCCTTAACTTAACCCAAAGCATGCTAGCATGCTATATTATGGGTCTGTATGCTTCTTTTGTGTTGTTGTTGTTGTGTTGATTACAATTCTTGAGGTTCATATTCTGAGCGATCAATTATAAAAGATGAAAAAACTGATGGCTGTATTTTTTCAGTTTTACTCATATGTACCCCTTGATATTTGTAGCTACCTGACGAGTTCTGACGATGAGCATCACTAATTAAGGAGGACACGATATAGGACGAGTGGTTTGATTTCTTGATCCGCCTGCAGTCCTGATGCCCTCAGCGCGAGTTGTTGTTGTTGTTGTTTTGGTGGCCTGCCTTCCCTGTGTGTTGAGGAGATGTGACTGCGTGGACCGGTCGGCAGGCTAGTAGGTGATTCTTTCTCTTTCCATCGCGTTCTTTCCCCGGCTTTCTCATCGCAGAGTAAATCCAAGGGTGATAATACAAACGTGAGGACTAAGCCATGCATACCTGTAGGTTACCCTGTGTGTATTGGGGGTGGGGGGGGAGGGGGGGATAAAGCCACCGACTTTATTACATTCCCACATTTATATTACTACCCCCTTGGGTCAATAACCTCTGACACATGGTCCCTGCTCCTGTCTGCTGACTCCATCCTTTCTGGTCTGTGAGAGCGTTCAACAAGCTGCACTAATTGTGATGTATTTTGACTGATTACATGAGGTGCAGAAATGGAGCCGGATAAAGCTCAGATATATTATAGTAGTCTATTTTTATCAATTTCCTGTTCCTCGTTTGATAGTCGTCATAGTAGTCATTTTGAAGTTTTTAGGTTGAAATAAGTTCTGTAGTTTACACAAGCTGAAGAGATGTTCACGTTTTGTTTTCTACGACATGAACAATACGTCTGTAAATAACCCCCAAATGCGTGGAATTTCCGTAAGCTTCTATTTTCATAGAACAGCGATTTGCTAACAGTCATAAAAGAGACACTGAACGCCACTCACGCCAAATATTAGGCCGCCTTTAGCTTAGCCGCCTTTAGCTTGCGCCTTTTAGACTTAGCGGTGGGGTAGCGTGAAGTCGGCGTACACAAATTAGATGTCATCGCAACTCAGTGAGGGATCGATAGCTTTTGCATTCCTTCAATAATATATACAATTATCATTTTGTAGTTTGTTTTTTAAGAGGATCGACGTACCAAAAATTTTTGTTGTTGAGTCAGTAGGAAATGAATTGTTGGTTGGATATCTTGCACCTTTAATAATAAGTTATTCATTACATTTTAATGCACACCCATCAAAGAATGAAACCACAAAATGGAAGTTAACCAAAGAGTGTTTTGTTTGTTTTGGCATTATTATTATAAACCCCAATATGACATGCTTGTGCGTTTGTAGAATATGTATTTTTGAACTTAAGATACAACTCTGGCTTTCTCTTGCTGTACTAGCTGCTATTAATGTGTTCCTTTTCTTGTACGTACATTGAGAGAGGGCTGACAAATAGTGTGATGACATGTGGTTTCTGATAATGTGTGTGCATTGTCCATTTGCCCCCCTGGTTCTGCATAGATGTTCTGATCTGTTGCAGCAACCACACATCCGCCATGTGTTTGGTTCGACGAGTGATTTTCTGATGCCACTATTCCACACAAGCCTCTCCACACACTTTGGATTCATCGCAGGCTCACAGGTACAGTACTGTCCCTGGATCTGATCCCCCCCCCTCTCCTCTCTGGCGCTCGCACGCCTGCTGCCC